GACTGTCTATTGTATTGAGCTCCTGAGACGCTGTCCATCAACCGGGCCAGCAGTTCCAGAGCCGCGTTCCACCCATCCAAACCCGCGGGCACCAGCTCCGGACCCATGCAAACCCGCGAGCTCCAGAGCCGGGTTCCATCCCGCCCAAGCAGCCAAAACCGTGAAAGCTCCAGACCCACCCAAACCCAGGTTTGCAGCTCCAGAGCCGCGTGCCGCCCATCCAAACCCGGGCCCCCAGGAAACTGCATTTTCAAGGCTTGGAAAACGTGTTTAAAGCTATTTCAACTTTGCTGGTGTTCCTAGCCCCAGTCCCCGAACCCAAGTCGAGCTCGAAGCCTCCGAACCCAAGCCCAAGTGCATTTTCCAAGGCTTGCTAAATGCAGCAAATTTGGAGTTCAATGCCGTCCCTACCCGAAAATCGCACCGAAACTGCTTTAATTTGGTTTCCATGGCCCCGGAGACGCATTCATAGATGTTTTAGCTTTGCTGATGCCCTTGGCCCAACCCCCGAGGCATGAATTGAGCCCTGGAAGCCCCGACCAAGCCCAAACGCATTTTCCAAGGCTTGCTAAACGCATTTCGCTTTTGTTTCAACAAATCCGGAGCTCAATGCTGCATCGAAAACGCATTTAGAGCTGTTTCAGCTTTGCTGGTGCCCTTGGCCCCTCCGGAGGCTTTAATTGAGCTCTCGGCTCTCGAAGCCACCGACCAAGCCCGAATGCATTTTCAAGGCCTGGTAAACCAATTTGGCTCAATGACGTCCCTAAACCGAAAATCGTCCTGCAAATTTTGTTTGGTTTCCACTACACCCGCGCGCATTTTTCAAATCCTGTGGAAAACGTGTTTAGAGCTATTTCAGCTTTGCTGGTGTTCCTGGCCCCAGCCATCGAACCCAAATCGAGCTGCCGAAGCCTCCGACGAAGCCTAAATGCATTTTCCATTTTCCAAGGCCTGCTGATCGCATTTGGCCCTGGTTTCAACAAATCTGGAGCTCAACCCCGTCTGTAAACATGAATATGTAGAAGTGAGATGCTCTAGTTTCGGACTTGTCTGGAAGCCGTGCCCGCCTTGAGCGAGTGCTCGAGTCGAAACCCGAGAACCGCGCCGAAATTGCTTCAGTTTGGCTTCCAAGTGGCTAAACCGGTTTTGCCATTGGCAGGACACCATAACAAAACTTTTTGCTATAGCACGTGTCTTCCATCCTTACGTCCATCCTGTTTGAGGTCTTCGCCGGCACTAATTCTGCTGCTAGCTGCTAAATTCTTGTGCTCATGACTGTGCCTTTTCTGATGCTGACTTTTGTGCTCATGATTGTCATTTTGGACTTCAGCGCGCAGCCCGCTTGTGGCCTATGCTGCTTCTGGACAGACCTGGCAGCCGCGCACGGTGCCCCAAACTACCGAGAGCGAAACTCGGGCTGCTGAAGCGATGCCAGTGCCAGGGTGAATGCTTCTGAAAGTATGATCGGGTTGCTATAGATTCAATCCATTGGGGCCGTCACATCCTGCTGCTCATATCTGCCGGTGTGACATATAAGGAGCATGTATTTAACTGTTACTGGGGAGCCTGGCATTCTAAACTCCCACCTACCAGCGCCGTGGATAGGCTTGCGATCAGTCCAGCCGGACCAACAAAATGATCTTAAGCCTTTTCCAACCCTGCACGTGCTTTAAAACTTGAACAACTTGCACATGCACAGCGCGAATCGTGCAAAGAAGATCGTCTGAAGTAGCAGCAACGCTCAACAACAAGACCTTGTAGTTCAATTCGACAACGGCGCCTCGAACAGCCAGTGAAAAGCAGAGGCCATTCCGCGCAATATTCACTAGGCACTTGAACTACCCTTCCCGACTATTCGTCTCTTAAGCTTTTCCAAACCTGCTCGTGCGTTAACCTGAACAACTTGCACATTCACAGCGCGAGTCGCGCAAGGAAGATCATCTTCAGTGGCAGCAACGCACAACAACAACAACAACAACAAGACCCTGTACTTCAATTCGACAAGGCATCGTCGAGCCTGCATGCCGAGGGCATCCGCTGGCACAGAACTGACACTGGGGGCTGCATCCGCTGAGGCGAATATC